ATCATACCAAAACAAAAAATGTATACGATTATTTTTAGGCTTTTTCTTTTCTTTGCAAATTTTTTGATTCTTGAAATGTGTCACTATACTACTCACCATAGACTCATCTTAAAAATCACTGTTCAAAACTATTTGGTAATGAATATCAGGTGGGTCAACCATTGTTTTTGCTTCTTAAAAAGATTATATACAACAACAATAGCCAGCAGGGATTTTACTCCTTTCTTGTGATGATTTTGTTTTTTTTCCATTGATTTATGAAGTGGTGTTTTTGAGTTTGGAAATGTATTGGTGAATGTTTTATGCTGCAAAGAGAAGTAGACAACTGTTAACTAATCAGATGTCTTAGTTTGTTGTGTTGCTCTCGCTGAGGAAGGCACGTTGGAGAGTTTTTGTATGTAGCCATCTGATAATAAAGGCTTTTTAATTCGAAAGAGTGCCATGGTCATCCTGAAGTTTCCTTTATTAGCCAGAAGGGATTCAAGTATTGACATTGGATATTATAATATACCAAATTTCAGGGGGAAAAAAATGCCTGTATGAGCGAGTCAGTTCATTCAACCAATTCAGTCAACACTGATTCATTCAGGAATGAAATTTAACCGCCTTTACAAAAGAATAATTGAATAATTAATTCACCTGATTCTCTCAAAACAGATTGCTCAGTGGTGCAAAATGGTTGATTCTTCTTTGACACTGTTGATGTAGCAAAAATAGATGGAAAATTACTGACCATATTGTGTAAAGCATAATTTACTCACTACTAACTTCTTGTTTATTTAACTGTTGTACACAAACAATATCACATTTGACTATGATTTTTAAATATGCATTATACAATTTGAAATCAGTGTGTGGCTACTGTATATTAATAGAATTTACAGTTAAAAGTGACCTAAAAATCCATTTCTTTACAGAGATATACGCACACAAAAAGCAAGCATTTTTGTCCTGATACATCTGTTGCTCTCTCCGAAATATTATGCATAATATGTATTTCTTTGACTGACATTAAAAGGTCAAGGTGGAAATTATGAAATTCTATATTTATTTTATACATGTCAACAAAAGAAGAACAGACAGAAGTAAACACGTCTATAAGCAAAGCTGCTGGTGCGAGCAATGGTATATTTGTCTCTTTTCATATCCAAAGCCTCACTTATCTCACTTGAGAGGACTGAGGAAAAGGTGCACCATCCAAGTCTCTCACAGAGATAAGTGAGATGGAATACAAGGACTGATATGCGAATAAATCAGATGCATCATGAATATTTATAATGCTGCTTACCTGCTCAATTAATTTACAGATTGAAATGCCATGGAAACATTTTGAATCTCTAGCGGTGTGCATTTGGTTGATAAGGGATGAGTTGCAAAATTTGATTTTGCTTTCTTTCATAATCTTAGATTTGATTACAGCTCTGAAATTTGTTTATATGTTGGACTGAGAATAAACAATACATCTGTGTTGGTTCTGCATTATAAACAAGCATCTGATTTGTTCCCTGCATAGATTTTAAACATTCGTAAGCCAGTCTAGGTACATTTACCTATGCACAAATTTGCATTCGCTTAAGAGCATTTTATTGTTAAAACGTATTAAATACAGTATTTTCCTGCATCTCCCGACCCAAATATAACTTTGACATTTCTATATGATTTCAAATAATCTAGAAAGGAAACAAAGTAAAGTAAAATGATTAAAATGGCAAGCAACAGTTTGCTCTTTAGGGTAAACAGCAATATTATTCTGTAGGCATGAGCCAATGAAAGCGCTTGTTTATTGGACAGATGGCGACAATCAAATTGTGCTTATCTCACAACATTAGCATAACCGAAGAACTAAAAATATCATTATTGCTTCCAAGACATTAACATCATTTTTTCACACGGATCATTAATAATGCAAACAAAAGATTGCAGAAGAATCTAATTTAGCTCATTGGCTCATAGCTTCATTCAAGCCCTCTGCTGAAGTTTTCAGAATTCACACATATTTGTACACAAATCAAATGCCAAATAAGACCTGCCATATATGGCTGTTGCAAATCCATATTTCTGTAATGTCAGCAGCATGGTAATTTGATATAAGCAGCACCAGTAGAACATAAAACACGAAGAGCAAATGCCTTTCTGGCTTCAAACCTATATAAAAAAAAATATATAAAACAGCTAGCAGATTTTTCAATCTGATTGCAAGTACTTTCCCAACTGGTCTCCATGAGGATTGAAGCATCCAGGCAGCGAGATAAATCTACAAGTGGATTGTACTTGTAGTAGCTACACAGAGAGGGCACAGAGAATTTGAGAAAAATTCATTTCAAGTCACAAACTGGACAGCTTCAGTAGGCTCCCGAGATGACGCTTAAGAGACAACAATATGCATGTAATGTAAATGCATCATATAAACAATTAATAGAAATGAAAATGCATGGCAGTTACATATTTTTTGCTGATTTGCATTATAAGGCGACACATTAAGTATTTGCAACTGCTGGCAGTGCTTCATTTCTCTAATAAGACAGTGTTGTTGGGCAAAAGAGGGTCCAGGTAGGTTCAGGATGACACCGTGTGGCAACTCTGCACCAGTGCAGCTTGTGTTCACTAAAATATCAATTAAAATGACTTTTATTCAATCATTCTCAATTATGCATTGAATGACAGCTTATGTTATGCATATTCTTCCTCATGTTTTTGTTAGAAAAATGTGTCGCATATTTTCAGTAATAAGGTTTTTTAATACACAAATGTAATAATTGAACATTGATTTAATTTAAGTTACAGCAATACACAGAGCCTACAGGAAAAATACACACACATGAGAAACTTCATTATGTAATATGGATTTTTTTTGACAGATGCCTCAGGATGGGCTTTGAGAAGCTGTTAACATCTCACAACCAGTGTTAAATATGTAATGATGTGCTTCATGGTTTATTTGGATCCACATCAATACATCAGAAGTCAAGGAACTCAATTCGGTATTAGTAAAACAAACAAGACAAAAGGATTTGATGCTCATATATTATTTATTCCTTTTAAATATTTTCCTCTTATAATATACATTTCTATCTTAAATAATACAAATGCGCTGTGCTAGATCTATTATTTCAAAGAATGCCCAGTACTTCCATGCTGCACTGAAATATATATATATTTGTATAGACACGCTCGCCCACATACACACAAACAGCCATTCATCAAAGGAGCAAAGAGCTTGGAATTCATGGTCAGTTTTGTATACAGATAAATGAACGTAATCCTCTCTCCCTCTCCTCATTTTGGTACACAATATGTTGTGTTTGCCATCCAGAACATTCTGCTAGAGAAGTATACATTTCAAAAATACATCATTTTGACATAAACAGCAACCATCAAGGAGTCTACTCAACCACACTGTCAAACAAAGCAAAAGCTCTGCTGAAATGTTCCACGAAACCGCTATGGCATTAACACGTCTAAACTGGCATATCTGACGCTGGGAGATAACATTAACTGAAAAAAAAAAAAAACAGAACGGAAGATCAGGACGAGATTATTTCACTTCAGTTTTTGTATAGTTTGGTGTATATATATATATATAAAAAGGGCGTATAACTACTAAACGGCAGAAGTAATATCTCAACTTCATCACAATGACAGAATTACTTCTGATTGATTAACATTCACTTAGATCTCAATAATGTGAAAGGAATGGATTCAAAAACAAATCACAAATCACATCTGAACTTAAAAAAGGTTGTTAACCCAAGTCAAATAGTCTTTACGTAAAAAACAAAACAACAAACAGGTCTCCTCATTCATCAGAGGTTGACCTTTTTGGGAGTCCCTGTGAGTACAATATCACTTTGTAACCCTTATGTAAAGTCCTCTTGATTTTTGAAAAAAGTCCATAACAGGGAAGTGTAAAGGTCAGCATAGTGCGATCAGACAATCTTATCGATGCTTTTTAGCATAGATAAAAATGTGGTGAAAAACAAGCAGGCCAAAAAACGCGAAGAGGCTTGAGGAAAAACAAAACCAATCGACCAGTATTTCTTCACATAGCAGACTTAACTATTTAAAGGCACAAACAGACCATATAAAACAGCTTTCTCATTTCATAATTAGCGATCTTGTAACAAAACTACCATGTAGGACGAGAAGCAAAGGGCACACATGTTGAAAGCAGGCCTGTGCACGCGAGATAAAGTTTGTCCATTCACATTTGTAACTGACAGTTTGCGAGTTCTCTCGTATCTTTGTACACGTACAACAAATACACAGTATTTTCCTGCATTGGAGATCAGTAGCAGGTGACATTTTGAACAGAGTCAGACTGCTGACTTGGTGAATGATGCATTTTAGTGCAAACTAATGGAGTTGCGAAGGTGGATGTTAAGGAGTGGCGTGATAACCTTTGGTTTGCTGGGAAGGCAGAAAACGGGGAAACTCGGTGTCGGATATAAGGCAAGTCATGATGGGCGACGGGAGGACGAAAGCTCATTACACATTGGTCAGTCAACAGAATGGTAAGTTAACCAAATGCATTCTGGAATATTTGGTCCGCCACAATAAATCTATGATCCCCCACACCCTGTTATGACGACTAAATGAATGATTGGCCAGTGCGTTGAGGATCAGACCGATTGGTGCCTCCTAAAACACGGAGCTTGTGTTCAATTTATCTAAAAATAAATATTTTTAACCTTCCATCTACAGATAATTAGTTCAATAAGGGTGCGTTTACTACCAAAAAGAGAATATTAGAGCTCTATTACATAATCCAAGGTCATTGTTAATGTACCTGCATTAATTTTTTCATTCTTTTTACACTCATTCAGCAAATATAAAAGATAACTGCAAAAATAAATACTCAAATTCATGGAGTGAAAAATCACATTTTGGCGATCGGTACCTTTGAACTCAAGGTAGTTGTGCTCAGAATGCCGTTATATAAAGTCACAAGGGATAATAAGTTGAAACGTAGTTTTTTTCAGGAGTGCTACGCCGAGAGCATTTATCCTAAAGGAAAAAAAAAGTGGAAAACAATAACAACTCCCTAAAGACTTGTGGCCGTCCAGTTGATAGGACTTTGATTGTGTCATAACGTTTTGGATTCTGGTTTCAGTGTATGGCTCCATCCAGACCTACTGCAGGTTTTTCAGCAGACGGCCGTAGCGGTAGTCGTAAACGTGGCGGCAGACGAACACCAGGTCAGGATCGATGTCGTTGGGCACGCAACGATGAGCTGGAATTACATAGTCGGAGGGAGGGACCAGGGGGCTACGTCTGGGTAAGCCCTCCTCATGACACTTCACCAAGGCACAAAATCTGAAACATTAAAGATCAGATCAAATTTGTACAAAGGATAGGAGGTGATGATACATTTGACACTTGGCGATAAAATATGATCGCTTACCTACAGTACTGTGCTAATGTCAACACATAGCACTTATCCTCAATACATGCCACACTATTTTCATCCTGATGCCGAGACGCGAAAATCTCATTCTGGAAAAATTCACACAGCTTAAATATTTTATATTTAACTTAAGGGAATCCATGCTGTAAGTGTACTAAATAAATATTGCAACAAATTCAAAGTGAAACGAAAATGCAGATACATATTGAATCAAATACAGGCATGTTAAAACATCAAATATTCCCTTCATGAATTATAGTAGATATACAGTGTTCATAACATGTTTGAGAGTGCTGGGAGTCATTTGTTTGTCCAGTGTCCCTATTCCAGTGGTTTACTGAACACAGGAAACTTGTGCTGCCTACTTCCTATATGAAACTCATAATCAAAGGAAGTCAAATGTTGACATTGCAAGTCCCTGGAGGACCACACGGCTGTGCCATGAGCAATTCTAGACTCACCTCACAGTGCATGCTGGGAATGCGACCCCCCTGAGTGTGTTCTGGGCGGTAGTACCAAAACAAGCTCATCATCAGCTCCCCTAAAAGTAGGATCCAAGTATTGTGAGCTCTTCTGTGACTTTCATTGATGTATTCGAAAACAGCGTTTAGAGGAAGCCTTACCTGACTCAGGGTCTTCCCAGAAGGCGGAGACTTTGGCCACATAAGGCAATGACTTCTTCCTGGGACCTGAGCGCAGTAGCACGGCGTCTCTGACCCTGATCACCTCTCCATCTCTCTGCACTCCTTCATAGCACCTGCGCAGGGATGTTGATTCCTCACCCTTCAATCAAATGAAAAATAAAGAGTTACACATTTATCTTCATTTATATTCATTTTTGTATCACGCTATACATCTACAAAAAAACTAAAAAAAAACTACACATTTAAAAACTCCAATAAGGGATCAACTTGAAGCCAGCTGAATTATTTAAAGCTTTACTAAGTAGTGGGTGGGTTGTCTGAATGACTAGTCTCAAAATGCATTTCAAAAATTGCACTAATTTTAAATTGACACACTGTCTTTCAAATTCAATATGTGGGGAGCTTTAAAAAAAAAAAGGCATGAATTACGACACAATGATAAAAGATGTTTAAAGACATCTAAATGCATGACTGCAGAAGCGAAAGGAGATACATTTTAAAAAGGACCCTTTAAATAGGTCAGCTGAAGCACAGCATGATGTTAACATGCTAATTGAGAGCACTACCGCTAAAAATATAAAAACTAATACATGGATTGGTAACACTTTAGTTTAGGCTCCAATTCTCACTATTTACTAGTTGCTTATTACTAGGATATTGGCTGTTTATTAGTACTTATGAAGCACATATTAATGCCTTAGAATGCATGACCATATTCTACATCCCTTAATCCACCTGACCCAATACCTAAATTTAACAACTACCTTTCTAACTATTAATAAGCAGTAATTAGGAGTTTAATGAGGCAAAAGTCGTAGTTAACATTTAGTTATAATAGTGAGAATTGGACCCTAAACTATGGATTTAATGCTGAAATATATCTACACTACCATTCAAGTTTGGGATTAATAGAATGTCTTCTATTAGAAGGCTGCATTTATTTAATCAAAAATACAGTAAAAACAGTAAAATATTATAACAATTTAAAATGTTTATTTTAATGTGAAATTTATTCCTGTGATCTGTATTCAGTTTTGTATTCCTGTGGTATTTTCAGCAGTCATTCAGTGTCATGTGATCCTACAGAAATCATTCATTGGTGACTAGAAACATTTCTTATTATCATCAATGTAGAAAACGGTTGTGGTTTTTGTGGAAACGTGATACTTTTGTTTCAGAATTCTGTAATGCAAGTTCAAAAGACAGCAATTATTTGTAAGTAACAAATAAGTAACATTATAAATGTCTTGACTGTCACTTTTGATCAACTTAATGCATCCTTGGTGAATGAAAATATTAATTTCTTTAACCAAAAACTTTCTACATCGAAATCTATATCGAATTTTTGCACAAATACTGATGAGGAAAAATATACAGTATCTACCATCATTACATAGTAGAGTCTTTCATGAAATACAATGACATGTTTTTAGTACTCTATTTGACACAGGGTAAAACTAGAATCCAAATTCCAATAGACCTTATAGTCCCCGCCCCTTTTCAGCACTGTGCTCCTTGTGTTCTTGTCTTCCGGTTTATACTTCCACATCATGAATATAAGATCTTACAGATTTATGAATGAACCACTTGTTTTAAAATCTTCCCGGTCTACTGAGATTTGTTATGACATCCGCATTAAACATTACAATGGTCATGATAACTTTCGTTAACTCTACAATAAGTAAATATGCATGCTTGTTTCTGGCGCATAAGGTCTATAGAGCAGCCCAAAGACCAAGTAAAGGCGTGACTCTGCAGTGTGGCGAACTAAATAGTTCTTCCGCTGAATCCTGAAGTAATGTGTGTAAACATTTCATAAACTAATTTTCTTAAAAGTTATTTATAAGTTCTTAAAAACACTAAAATGGAGAAGAAAACAGCAGTATGATGCAAACGTTTTTAAACACAACCGCTCATTGTCTGAGGTTTGTCCATTGGCTTTTTGTTTAAAATGCTTGTTTAAAAGCACCTCACTGGAATTTAATAATCATGACCTTTCCAATGATCACAATACAATGTTTACTACTGACATTTTGCAACAGCTGTTCAAAAGAAATTTGCCTGGGGCATTATTTTGTAATTTACCAGGAATAATAATAATATAATAAATGCAATATCTTTCAATTAGTCGCTGTAAAGAATGAATGAATGAAAATTCTGTCATTAATTACTCACCCTCATGTTGTTCCAAACCCAGTCGACTTTGGTTCAACATTGGAACACAAATGAAGATCATTTTGATGAAATCGGAGTGTTTTCTGTTCCTCCTTTGACAGCTATGCAACTGACACTTTGATGCTTCAAAAAGTTCATAAGGAGATCGTAAAACTAATCCATATGAATCCATACTAATCCATATGAGCGGTTTAGTCCAAATTTTCTGAAGAGACACGATTGCTTTATATGATGAACAGATTGAATTTAGTCTTTTATTCACATATAAACATTGATCAGCGAACAACGAACCTGCTTGATGCGTGAGAACTAACCTCTCGCTGAAGCTCAAACATGCTGCGTAACACAAGAATGAACCTCATTGGTTCTTGCGGAAGCTCAAACGTGCTGTGTAACACGAGAATGAACCTCATTGGTTCTTGCGGAAGCTCAAATGTGCTGCAAAACACGAGAATGAACCTCATTGGAACCTCATTCTCGCATGTTGCCTTTGGCTTGCTCAGTTGGGGATATTCAAATTAAATGACCCATCATACCACTGATCAGCTCTACCAAACTTGGATGTCTTTTTCCAGTAATAAACAAACACTGTTAAGTTGTTTTGATTGATACTGTGAAGCAGCTCTGATACAATCTGTATTGTGAAAAGCGCTATATAAATATATTTGACTTGACTTGACATTAAGCATACATGCTTGAGTTTCCATTTACCATATCTGATGTGGGAGTTGATGAGTGAATAAAAGCCTAAATTCAATCTATTCATTATATAAAGCAATGATGTCTCTTCAGAAAATTTTGGACTAAAGCACTCTATTCATGGATTAGTTTTACGATCTCTTTATGAACTTTTTGAAGCGTCAAAGTGGTAGTTGCTAGCTGTCAATGGAAGGACAGAAATAACTCAGATTTTATTAAAAAGAACTTCATTTGTGTTCCGAAGATGAACGAAAGTCTTACCGGTTTGGAACGACACGAGGCTGAGTAATTAATGAGAGAATTTTAATTTTTGGGTGAACTATCCCTTTAAGTCTTCCTCCGGGCACCTCCTAAATGTCTTTTTAGGAAACTTTCAATACGCCAGTATGTTTTGACACCATCCCTAGACAGGGCAACTCGAGTACATACCACGATAAATACTTCCTTTTCTGTTGCCACACCAACAGGCATCCAGCCGTTTGTTGCCCGGCGACGACTGATCTTAGGCTGCTTGGCAGAGCCGCTGCCATGGCCTGCTCCCAGCTGGCCATCCTTAATATGGGGGCAAACAGCAGAGTCCCGCACCCCAGAACGAGAGCCACTGGGCGGCTTGGCGCTCTGAGGGCATTCCCGCCCCACTCTAATCTGCACCTGGGGTCGACTGGCATCGGGAAGAGGCGTCTGCAGGTGGGGCACTGACTGGGTGGATGGAGGCACACTGGAGATGGGGCAGATGGACAGAGGCAGGGCAGAAGGCATCGTGATGGATGAGCTGTGGTCATCCAGAGGGTAAGAGTAGTCTTCTACAGAGCGGAGAAAGCAAAAATCATTGGTTCATAAAATGCTCAACATGCATTTATGATCATAAACAAACACCATATTGCATGTAATACAACACAGCAGACTAATGCAGTCATAAATGAGTCAGTGTGCCAGATGCTGCGTGGTCAGATGCAAAGCTAAGAGCTGTAACCACAATTATATACAACCTTGAGGGGATTGGATTTTATGACAGGAACTACAAATCAATTTAGAAATGTGGAAACAGTGAAGCACTTGATTATTAATTCATAATTGAACTCGAACAAAACAATGACGGTGCATTATCATTTCAATAACATCCAATTGCTGTGATCCAAGGGTGTCGTAAAGGTTGTGTGGGCAGTTGAAAAAATAAAATAAAAAATTCAGAATGGATGAGCCAATCTTGGGAAACCTGTCAATTGCCGTGGTTCCCATAGTGATGGGGAAATTTGAGATGTGAGAAAGTACATGTGACGAAATTCTTCTGGTAATGCATAAAGAGACAAGAAATGTGCATTTTTAGGGTTCATCTTGACTCCAGAAATTAAATTGTGTCATGAATTGTTCCAAAGCTGTACTGTATCCTGATTTTATCCATGGAGCAAAAGGTGATTTTTTTTTCTTCACATCTTGATCTTTCGTTTTCCCATACAATGATAAGTTCAATGTGACCACAGACTCAAGTTACAAAATATAGCCTAAAACAAAGATACAGTATGTTTCATACACTAATAATTCATAATGATTTGGTTTTGTATGGAAAAGAACAACAATCAAATTAAGAGGACAAAACATTGAGTGCAATTAAGTTTTATACTTCAAAAATTTACCTTTAAAACTTTTTACAAAGAACACATACACTCACCTAAAGGATTATTAGGAACACCTGTTCAATTTCTCATTAATGCAATCATTTAATCAACCAATCACATGGCAGTTGCTTCAATGCATTTAGGGGTGTGGTCCTGGTCAAGACAATCTCCTGAACTCCAAACTGAATGTCAGAATGGGAAAGAAAGGTGATTTAAGCAATTTTGAGCGTGGCATGGTTGTTGGTGCCTGACGGGCCGGTCTGAGTATTTCACAATCTGCTCAGTTACTGGGATTTTCACGCACAACCATTTCTAGGGTTTACAAAGAATGGTGTGAAAAGGGAAAAACATCCAGTATGCGGCAGTCCTGTGGGCGAAAATGCCTTGTTGATGCAAGAGGTCAGAGGAGAATGGGCCGACTGATTCAAGCTGATAGAAGAGCAACTTTGACTGAAATAACCACTCGTTACAACCGAGGTATGCAGCAAAGCATTTGTGAAGCCACAACGCGCACAACCTTGAGGCGGATGGGCTACAACAGCAGAAGACCCCACCGGGTACCACTCATCTCCACTACAAATAGGAAAAAGAGGCTACAATTTGCCAGAGCTCACCAAAATTGGACAGTTGAAGACTGGAAAAATGTTGTCTGGTCTGATGAGTCTCGATTTCTGTTGAGTCATTCAGATGGTATATAGAGTCAGAATTTGGCGTAAACAGAATGAGAACATGGATCCATCATGCCTTGTTACCACCTTGCAGGCTGGTGGTGGTGTAATGGTGTGGGTAGGGCTGGGATAAACGATTATTTTTTAAACGATTAATCTAGCGATTATTTTTCCGATGCATCGATTAATCTAACGATTCATTTTCCCAGTCCGATTCGATTTCAATTCGATTATCGATTATCTCCCCATTAATTGACTAATAGCACGTTATACATGTTGATTTACATATCTGAATGAAAAAAAAACATGAATTCCTTAACATTGCAATATATGTTTATTGCTCTTAAAATTCCAAATTAAAAGACTATATAAGTGCAAAGTAATGCATTCTTATTTTCGTAACATTCTCATTTTCCACTAGATATGTCCCTCTATATATCTAATCAGCAATTTCGATTTCGGCACGCTCTGCAGCAGCTGAGCACTAAGGAGCGAATGTACAGTGACGTGACATCACTGCCAGATTCAAACTGTGAAACTGCTGAGTTTCATTTTCAGTCATTTAAATGCAGTTTAGTCAATCTGCATGGTCAAATCAGGGTCAGAGGTCAGAGGGTGAAGGCATGAAGACTACTGAAATTAATTCTCTCTTATCTCTTGATTTTCTGTTTTACTGGCCACTTCCCCATTGCAACGAGGGAAGAAGAATGACTCTTTAATAGCTGATTAACAAGTTGGTGGTTTTAACCTGCAGCAGGGCAGACTCCTCTCGTGCAAAAGATACGGTTTATCAGCAGCACCCATCCCCTGAGGTTTGACATCAATGAATGGCAAATGCAGACATTTTATTACAATCTAGACTCCAAATCTAATAGAAGCAACAAGCATAACTTGAACACCAAATCTGACCAAATCAAACAGCCCTCAAACTAAGCGCACACAATGACATGCCGTTGGAGTGGTAATCACACTCAGTCTACACAAAAAATAGATAACAATACTTAAGATAACCCAGTTTACAGCGCTTGGTCTCAGTGGATCGAGTCTGGGTAAGCGTGTAAGGAAAAACACAATCATTGTACATTCACTCGAGCATGAAAGTGTTGCGTTATTGGAGGAAAACTTCACTTCCCCCTGCAGTATACAGACAGTTTTAATAAATTTACACTCAGTTTTAGCTCGCACAGTATTGAACGGTTCAATACAGCACTTTGTGTATGTGAGATTTTTTTAAAGTGTAAAGCTTTGCACTTCCAAAAATTACACAATTTCCACAACCATTTAATAGCAAACCAAATATACCAACTTCAAATTAATACTAAAAGGCCTCTGCTTTGCTTGTTTGTCTTGTCACAGTGAAAGTCATTCTGTACCTAAAGAGAAACCCACAGAGAGTCAGATTACTGTCTCATTAACAGAGATTACGGTGAGTGAAAAATTACATCGTATAACGGAGCCGTGTGGTTAAAAACCAACAAGGGAGCATCTCTGCGGAGGTCTCTGCCTGTACCGAGGTCCACATGCGTCTGCGAGACCACAGCTGCCACCTCACAATGAACAGACAGTTCAAGTCTCCTGCCAACAAAAATAACCAGCACCCTTCCCCACCTGTGGCAATTACTCACATGCAAACCAACAGCGAACAGACTGCAGGGAACATGCAGCCACAATGATGTGGCTGGGGAAGGGAATTTCATTTCATTTGTCTCTTATTCAAGCAGTTACTTTTTTCCCCACAAGTCCTTGATGCAACCTTGACAGGGTTTCTCTTGACATCTTTTAATGTCACTGTATTTCTTGTGTACACCTTTAGATCAATCACTTTGGAGACTGTGTGAGCTCATTCATAAAGACGTCTACTGCTGAGACTGGGTCAAGGCTGAGAATACAAACATGGCATAGAATGATGAGAATGTGGAAATCCTTCTATCCACTTAAGAGATACATTTTCTCTAAAAATCAGTCATTTGTTAATTTACATAATGATGTTTTTCTATTTTCTTTACATAATGATATTTTCTAATAAGCCACCTCTCACATTATAGGGGAGAGTGAGGCAAGATGTGCCATTGTCACTCTTTTTATGTGTACCTTATGGATAAGTCAAATTATTTTTTCATTATTTTATTCATCCAGTCCAATTTTCTCCTCCAAACAATGTGCAAATCAAAAGTATATATCCTATATGTGTGTGAACTGTGAAATATTATTAATTTAAAAAATAACTTTTCTATTTTAAAATGTAGCCTAATTCATTCCTGTGATGGCAGTCCAGTCTTCAGAGTCACATAATGATGATTTGGTGCTCAAGAAACATTTCTTGTTATTAGAGACGGACCAATACTAAATTTCTCTGCTGATAGTATACTGATAGCCGATTATTCAGAATGATATACCGATGGTTAGATTTTTTTTAATCTCTCCCAAATAATGCTGCAAATGAAACAAGGAACCCTCTTATTTGGAACATTACTATAATATTAGATGTTAAATTTAACAACAGCTATTATATTCAACTGGTATTTATTTTCATATATAATAATTACACTAAATAAAAACTGAAATGTATACAACTCGGTTGCACATAAGGCAGTTTTGTATATAATTAACAGTAAATAAACTGCTCTCTAGTGTTTTTTATAGATAACAAACGAACTGCTAACGCTGATTGGGTGATTACATGAGACGATTCATTTCGGTTACATAATTTAGTTTTTTTTTGTGTGTTGTAAGTTACTCGTATTAAAGTGGAAGAGATGACTCGTGCTCTGCGCTGCTGCTTGAACGGAGGCGGTACAGCGATCTGTCACGTCACATTTAAGAGTGTTAAAAACATTATTTATTGTTTGAAATTTGTGATAAAATGGACAGAATTTGAAAGCTGAGACTTAAAACAAAGCGCAAAGCTCTTTGCGATTATTGGATGAGAGGTGCTACAAATAATGTTTGATGTAGGGAAAAAGCAACAACCCTGGCTTGAACTACGGGTGATTCATAGAGTCAAATAGAGCCTGCTTTAACATCGCTTTTTTTTTTCTTTTTTTTTACTGTTAATGTATTTTCTGTATGTCACATTAACTTGCCCTAAGTTCAACACAAGAGAGATTTTCTTTACACACAGTATGAGTTGCAGTCTGAACATCTTTTTCTGCTGCCCTTTTGATTGACAGGATAGAATTGGACTGGATCATCTTCTGTTTTTAAACAATTGGCTGATGGCCGATAGTGAAAATAATTGCTTTTATCGGCTGATACCAATTATTGGCATCTCTACTTATTATTATCAATGTTGAAAACAGTTGTGCTGCTTAATATTTTTTTGGAAACTGTTTTACATTTTACATTATTCTTTTAATAGAAAGTTCAAAAGAATAGTATTTATTTAAAATAGATCAATCTTTTTTGTAACATAAATCTACTGTCACTTTTGATCAATTTACTAGATCTTTGATCATTTTTTTTACAGTTACTGTTCTTAAACAAATCATTGAACGTGAAGAGTTGTGAGAGAATGAGTCGCGTGTGAGACCCGCGTCTCTGTCAGCAGCGGCTAGTCTTAAAGGGACAGCAGCCAATAAAGCTTTCTGTCAGTAAAGTTAATCATAGAACAAAGTGAACAGAGAAAATTACTCACTGCTATTGACTAAAGAACTTTTGTAGCTATTAGGCTATTCTATATTTAATTTATAATTTATGCAGTGCAGACTGTTTGATAACTTTGTTAAATTTCTGTATATGTCCTACATTTAGACAGTAAGGGCACAGGTAAATATGACATTTATTTTATACTATTGTACTATTGAGACAATAATTAGTAAGTTTGCAGTAATGCAAAGATGTCACTATTTAATTTTGTGAAAAATATTTTTTTTGCATTTAGTTATTGCTAGTTTGAGTTGAGAAATACACATTTCAGCATTATCACTAATCTGTGTGTGCATTTTATTTGAGAACCAAGCAAGTTGACTCATGAAACCATTTGTTTATTATATCGCAATCGCATATCACAATCGCAATATTGACTTCAATAATCGCAATATGACATTTTCCCCAAATCGTGCAGCCCTAATTTACTGGGCTACTTTATTTGTATCTGATTTACAACGAGCAGAAATCTGTGAGGAATATAATGACCCAAAGACAAATTAACTTATGAACTCATAAAAATAAGCTGTTATGTAGGAGCAATAGCCTTGTGGGCAGCGCTGTGTCATACGCCATAGCTGTGCACTAGGCAACCCGCGTTCGAGTCTCAGCTACAGGTTCAGGCATATTCGTTCATTAATGACGTCATCAGCGATTAGTCAATGCCGCCGACTTTACTTTAATCACATAAATGTTGACTTTAAAAAAGTCGTTCAACCCCAACTTCCTATCTGTTGCATTGTCTGTTTTACGCGCATATGTGCATATTTGCTTTATGAAGTACTTAGTTTAACAGCGTCTTGCAAGCTTGCAGTTCTTTACTAAATGCAGCCCTACTTAAACATAAAATGTGGCACAGTTTACCAACTCTCACTTTCTCCTCCATACTTCAAATCACAAGAACAGCAGGCAATCTGTTTCAAGACAAATGCTAAAACATCCTTGTAAAGTTACAGTTTTGGAGCTAGTCAGACAAAAGCGAGAGACATTTTTATCTTTCATTCCATTTCCCATCCTACCTTTTTCCATTTTGTGCATGCAGCTGGAGCATCCTGCGTTGTACGAGCAGCCCCTGCTAGCGATGGGTTGCGTGGGTCTGTAGGCATAGCTGTTGAGCCTGCAGGCTTCTCCGTAGCAGGTGCCCACAGAGTTACAGTATGCCGGATGAGGGATCCCTGTGGTATGGGAAACTGAAGAGGGTAGCAATTTTGGTCTCTGGACCCCGCTAGTGCACATCGCCAGCTGGGGTACTGACGAGGGCGTGTGGCTTCCTGGATTTGAGCTTACAGGATGCGCCGGAGTCCCGTGATGGGCAATGTGGACATAGTACCCAGGGTAACATGGATAGGAATGGGCACCGATAGGCATCGCTGGATGCGTCAGGGTGTGAGAAGAAGGAAGAAATCCCTTCAGAGAATGTTCATCGGTTTCCGGGTAGCTTTTCTGGCCGAGGAACAAGGCTAGTCTATGGCAGTACTCCACTGATCTCTCCTGGGAACAGCAGTAATATGATTTCACATCAGTCTCTGTTTTCTCTTCCTTCACAGGCTTCAGGGGAAAGCCAAGCATGGATCTGCACTGATATCCGGGGCTAATAAAGCCATGGCTTCCTGTGCTCCCGTCCCACAATGCCTCGGAGTGGAGGGCTTGCTTCTCACAGAGGCTGCAGCATTGCTGCGCTACTTTTAACTTGGACTGACAGGCCAAGTTGTGCTGCTGTTTACGCGATTTAGACTGTAGCTGTTTCCCTCGCACCCCTCCACCGCTCGGTTTGCCATCTGTTTTACCTTTGCGCTTAACTCCAGAGGACGTGCTGGTCAGCTTGAGCAGGGCGGCCGCATTTAAACCAGCCAGGCGCTTGGGAGCAGGACTGTTTAGAGTCAGGAGATCAATAGTGTCGGCTTCCGCCTTCGCTTTTTTGGGGTTTCGACATTGTTCGGTCTCTCCGATACACGTGCATTTTCGGTTATCTTGGGCTTTTCTGGAACAATCATTATCTTTCGTTGTGTCTTTAGAAAGAGAAGTGTCTCCTTTTTTCTGTTGCTGCTTCTTTGAGAGTTTTGATGTCTTTTGGGGGTCCTCTCTGTCTAACAGCAGACTGTTAACGGCCTCTGCATTCAGAGAGGCCAGCCGTCTCTGGCGAGGTTCGGGGATGAATTCTGTGTATAAGGCAGATTTATCTGGTTTCACTTTGCTTTTTGGTTCAGGCGCTGACCGGCAAATCTTACAGGCTTTCTTGCGACACTTGCAGATTTTCGCCTTCCCCTGCATTTCCTTCACCTTGGCCTTCATGTTGTTCCTACACGTTTCGCTCTCGTCCAAGCGCGTCAGTACGACACAGCAGTTAAGCGCGCTCACTTCACCCAATCCATGTCGTCCCCTGAGGGGGTACAGCTTCCGGTCTCTCTTGGTGGTTTTCCCTTTTATTTCCTTAACTTTTCTTCTTTGGGTAGAGCATGTTTTAGCCTTCTTTTCTGGCCAAGTTCTGTCCATAGTTGTCTGACAGCTCACCTGGTCCGCAGATTCACTCTTATATCCACATAAAGAGTTCCTCTGCCGTGCATGGGTCATCACACACTGTCAAGAAAAACCTATAAAAATAAATAAAGCATTTTGTAATTATTATTTCGAAGCTGTAACTGCTATGATTAAATATATAATGTGTACAGGAACCATTAAGAATTTCATAACCTTTACTAATTAATATTAATGCAACCGACTATGTAAACTAAAGCTGAAAAATCAGCACAAATGTGACCTTATGTGCCACCGTAATCAGGTTTCTGGTTTGGCAAGAGTTTAAAGAATTTTAATTTGTAAGGGACAAACATGGTTACTAAACTGCGTAGGTGCAATAAACAATTTTTAGCATATGTTGTTTTGGCCTTTTGTAACAAACATCTTTCTAGGTGAATTCACACAATCCATAAATAACATTCTTATCTTAGCAGGCTAGTAACACTTCTGATATTTTAACTTTGAGATTTTACATCATTCCTTTAGCATATAATGGTTTCACAGGCACCATTCGGTGTACATTCGACTCTAATCGACCTGAAACACTGCCATAATTAGCCTACGTCAGTTATTTAAATGAATGATGATGTAGTTGCTAAAATATACAGAGAGACAGCAAAACATTTTGTTATGATTGATGTGATGGTACCACAATGTCTGAAACTTAGGTCAGCTATTCCTATTTACATCTTGCATCATTTAAAAGGACATTTATCCCAAAAATTAACATTCTGTCATCATTTATTCACCTTTGTGTTGTGTTCTTGAAATAATAAAAAAAACATGTTTAAGATGCCCTTTTCCATGTAAGCTCAATGACTGGACCTTTCAATAGCTTTAAAACAACATGATGGCGAGTAAATAATGACAGGATGTTCCTTTAAGAGATACAGAAACACCTGATCTGTAAAAATTACATAGTCAGGGACAGGGTTCTTCTAATAGTTTCTTAAGTGCCCATTAAACTGTTGCTCTCCAAATAAAAACTATTTGATTTGCAATTTTGTGGTACACAAGGTTGAAAACTTGTAACCTCAAATGTCAGATGAGAAATTAATGCAAGAAATATTTCTGATGTCATTCTGGAGATTTAACATGTCCAACATGTTTCCCCGAGACCTATTGATTAACTGAAAGGCAAGTCAGGGGTCAAACACACACGCGGAGGAGACATATGACAGTAATTGGGCTCCATGTGAAACTTAACACTAACAGACACAAAACACTAACTGCTTTGACCTATTGACAAGTTCCTCTTTCTTTAAAAGGAACAGAAGTCCTTGAGGCTTTCCAGTTGACTCTGAAGTTAGACCAAGCTATTATTAGTCAAAGACATCTTTTCATATTTGATGCATCGCTTTAGTTTTAAATATGATTTTGAGTTTTATGTTCTGTATCATTGGTATCACTGTGCTCCACCATGAAAGACAGAAGAGCTTTGAAAAAGTATGAATGCTACAGGCTTGCTTGGATTGTGTGAATAGATCCATTTATTCCTGTGCTCAGTTATTAAGTTTGACAGCTGCTGTATTTGAATCTCCATCTGTCAAATAAAAGAGGTCATCATAACCATCAGTCAACCTCAGACGCATGTAGTGCTCTCCTTTACAATGCACAGAGCAAGTTCAGCACCCGCGAAAGAAACATTTTTGTAAACTGTATATTTACATAACTGTAAAATATGGACAACAAAAGGCATCTACCATAATTGACAACTGTAGCATTCTCTCATTTGCAACAATCCTCTTCACTCCTACTGCTCTAGATACCATTTAAAATCATCCACATCCACCCATGCGCCAGATAAAGAGGGGAATCATTCTGTAGTTCCAACCATAAAAGTGACTACTTTAAATATTTAACCAAACAGGTTACACTAAAAGTAAAATAACCAAACATACACATTTACAGTAGGGATCAATAATTAGCTTTATGATATTATTTATAATTACTGTTATTAAAATATTCATTAGGTTTATTAAGTTTTGTTGTTAACGCTGCAAAAAAAAGCATGCATTAAAAATATTAAATATTGGATTTGGTGATTGTATGTGTGTGTATATATATATATATATATATATATATATATATATATATATATATATATATATATATAAAACATTCAATCTCCAATTTACCAAGAATCAGCATTAACGCATATTACTTTTCTTCTCTTGCTTTATAAAGTCATTTAAAGATTACCGCAATTGAATCCTATAGTGTGCGTTCACAAATGTGAAAAGCTTTAAATACAATTTCTAAGTGCCACTAAAAACTAAATCAACAGTCTGTAATTTCTGGGAATGTCACAAGTTATTGATCTGGAGGAAAGTGTGGCTCATAAAATAATAGACTAAGTGCTGGTCATGTCCAATTGAGTGACACAACACAAACTCTCTAGTGGAAGGTAGCTGGAGGATGAAATTTTGGCACGATATTATGGAAAATTAGAGGTTCCCCTTTCTAGTTTCAGGAGGGGTGAAGGGAAATGGACTGGTGCCCATAATTTACCACCATTCCGGGTGTTTTTCTTTTTTTCGGAATGAGGTATCAGCCCGACTTTCTGGCAAATATCCGGATAGCCATCTGGCGTTTCGGACGTAAAACGTAAACGTTCAATAGAAAATGTATCCAGTCTGCGCTTTGATAGGTGGATTAATGCGGTTTAACGTGATATCCGACATGTAGAGACGAAAGAAGTTGCTCTTTCCTTCGTGTGATTTGAAATTCACCCCTCACTCACTGTACACAAATAGATGTTGTTCTTTTTTCCTCCTACACTGCAGATACAGAGAAGGGAAAGGTGTGGATTGGGGGGGGGAAACTGAAAAAAAGAGGAAACAGAGTGAAATGTACAGCGCGATTAAAGTAATCCGGGATAAAGGCGGCAAGCGCGTGCTGGAGGTGTATGATGATGAGAGGAGCTCGTGCGGCTCATAGGGCGTATCACACTCACACACACTCTCTCTCTCTCACACACACACTAAAAAACAGCGCTGTTTCCTTCACATCCTACGGTTTCTGCCACCGCATACCTCCCAACTGCGAAACCGAACCAGCACGGTCAACTCGAAACCGAGCAATTAACGTCAGTGCTGAAAATTACACTAAACGGCCAACCGTGAGAATCAAACGCCGAAGCGGATAGCGCTCGGTCGGTCCCTGCTGAAATTTCCGAGCTTCGCGATGGTATCCAGAGCACGATAAAAGAACAGTTTGTGCAAGTCTAACTAAAAAGCGTCTCTCGAACCGAATTCATACAGCAATGATCACGAATCATGTCATATTTCAAGCTATTTCCCCACTAGAGGAGAGAGCGAGCGCTAGAAAAAAAGCGCATTACCAAGATAAAACAGATTAGTAATCCTTCATTTACCTCGTCATCCACTCACTCCGCTGTATTCCCGATCAAATAATCACATTCCGCGAGCAACGAGGCTCCTGTTGTTGGGCTATTACAACAATATCGATGTTCAACAGTGAAATGAAACGAGGGGAGCACACACAGCTGACAAGACACGTTTAATCGGTGACCTACTTCCGAAGTAGCGTGCTGCTCGAGATAATATTCATGCGCTGCATTCGTGAGAGCCGCTGCTGCGCTGGGACGAGGTCTCGTTGGCATCATTCAGGTAGTTGAGTGATGAAAAATGCAAAAATGACAGGCATCGGCTGAGATTTAAACCCCATCACTCCGTAAAACTCACTGTTGGTCAGTGCTTGATCTCACGCAGTGAGCAAGTCCCTTGGATCAACAGCTATTACATAATGGACAGCCTTGGACTATCTCATCATCAGCAGTAGCCGATAGGCTACTCAGAAACTAGATAATGAAATAATTGCCAAAGGGAAAAAAGTTTGCATGAGGTTATCAGAGCGGTCTAGGCACGACGTCTAGTTTTAAAAGATTATAGGCTAATTAATCACATGTGGTAATTTAATGCTTTTACTCCTACTTCCAGGAACAAACCCTATATTCCATATTCAAATTCAAACTGGTTGGGTTTTGACCTTTTGACCATTACAGAATGTTTGTCAAGCTTGGGTCCTTGCCTCTTTAATGTGAGATGCATGTGAAAACAAGTACTCAGGCTAATAAACAAATTACACTGTAAAAGACAGCCTACTATCACCAATCCTATTTTATGGTTTAGAACACAATTTCAACTGAATAATGATTTAGGGTCATTCCGTGTCAAATCAACCAGAGGTTGAACCATCAAGGGCCTTTAAAATGAAGATATTAAAAGGAAAGTTTGTTAAGAAGCAGAACAGAAGGATCTTGAGATAGGCCTACCTTTAATTCTTCTTGAGTTGCAGGCATTTAAACTTGAGGCAAAAAAGAGCTTTTTCCCATTTTTTAACTGTCACCGTTGGCATATAACGCAACCAAGATTGCTAAAGTCAACAGATTTTACCAATACAGACCTACCAATCTCTATGAAAAATAAAATAATAATGCTGCCATCTTTCTATTTGTCATTTTTACCCCCCTGTAATTTGGCTCCAGATCTCATGTAAAAACTGTCATTTTGACCAGTGGATTACTCAGTAAATACATCCATGACATTTAATATTTTGGCTTTCATCACTATTTATGTTTGTCTTTCAACAGAAAAAAGTTTGAGCAAAATAAAAAATTTGAGCTGGGAAAGTTTCCAAAATTTGGTTGATTTGACACGGAATGACCTTTTAGTGTCCCCATACAGAGAAATGTTCCTTAAACTCTCACACTCACTGTTGTTTGTTTAAAGAATGCACCTAAATGCCTTTCATTTGCATACAGTGAGATTTATGGATTTCAGTGTCGCTACACGTTTAGTTTGTTCAACACTACTACTACTTCTAATACTACTTCTTCATAATTACTAAGACATTGTTTTGTTATTAAACCAAGGTATTATTGAATAGTGTGTTAGACATTAATACAAATCTAAATCCAAATCTCCAACATACACTCTAAGATGCTCAGAACATCATTGTACTGTTTTTTTCATAGGTGTTTTATACCTGTATTTTAAATTACTGTATTAAACTGTTTTATGGTCAAAGGAATTTTTCTTATGGTGTACTT